TTGAACTGGAGTAAATATGGAATAGCTTGTTGACAATGCGGAGTTACTCCTCTTTTATGTCAGTGTAACCGAGAGCACAATTTTGCCAATTATTAACTTTTGTTACATTATTTGTATTTCTGTGCGTGTCAGGATTTGTTAATCTCATTGTTCAACATCGAGTAACCTTTTGCTGAAAACAGAGCGTCACTCTGAATTAGGTATCATCAGCTAAATTGAACCTCACCCTGTGCATTTGACAGATGGTAATACATTCATTAAGTGTTCTGTGGTTGCTTTGAGGTTGGAAAGTGCTATTTTTCTGGCTTCTAACTCAGGATTCTTAAGTAAAGTTGTATAAAAGCATAGTTTTGAAGGGAGAAGGAAAATCACAAAGAGCTCGTGAGGTTTTTTATTAATATCTTTGTTTACTATTGGTGGGATGACATGGCAGGACTATGATTGCTGTCTTTGGCTGCCTAAGTAGCCCAGAGCAGAGTAGTGAAGGGTGAGAGAGAGGGTTCCACCGTGGATTTTATGTATACACAGGTAGAAATTCTTGGAATTTGAATTTATATGAAATACATCACTGTGGAGGCAGTATGATGCCGGTGCCTTTGTGCTTGATGATTTCACTGTCCAGAAAGTTGGTTTCCACGAGTTCAACCACTGCAGCCATTGCACGGGTAACCTGACGACAGGGCTCTTCTTGCAGAGCTGGTCACATCTGGGATCTCTAAGTGCACACTGGAAGTCTGCAGGGTGGGGATGCAACTGGAGGTAGAAATTTCAAAAGCAGCACAGAGCCACATTCCCAGGCATAGTTCCACTTGGTTTTGTAATATTGAATCCTCCACCCTTGACATTACCAAGACAATGCAAGTCTGAGATTAGACACTTCAGGAAAAGTTCTCCGCACAGCTGATTTAAGGGTCACCTAAACCAAGTGTAGAAGAGAAGACTCCACTGCCTACAGAGGACGTTCAGGGTGTTTAATTCAAATTTACTCATTTAACTTACTCTCTTCAGGGAAGATCAATCCCATCCCACTCACTGACTTGCAGTGGAGCCTGAGCACTTATCAGCAAACCTATTGAGTTACTTAATGATGTTTCCAAGAGGGTAGGTTGCCAAGGGAATTAGCTGCTTAGCCACTTCTGAAACTCATTGTGGTTAGTATGTTCACAAATGGGGAATTAGTCACTTTTTAATTAGTCACATCTTTTTAAATGTCTTCATTCAGTCTAGTGCTGTGACTGGTATTCACAAGACCCTGTCCTGGTGAGTGCCCACTGTCCCGTGTTCTCAGTGGAGACAATGTATAGCGTCATCCAGATTTTCACAAAATAGTTGTAGTATGAAAGGTTTAGAATTAAGTCTTTCCTCTGCTGAGTTTGCTCAGTGATATGAACCCAGTCAACTCTTTCTTCAGCAAGAGTCCCCAAACCTTCAGAGATGTAGGATATTTTGAGGAGGTAATTTCTTGGTCTCTGTTCACATTTTTTCACCTTTTACATAATGCTTAAATATCAACCAGATAAGAGTGAAAATGAGAGAGTTACTTTTTCTGACTTTTACCTGTGGTGTCAGCCTTCAGCCACAATCCGCTGAATGTTGAGTCATTTACGGAAAGTGAAACAGTTCAACAGGAGAACTGCACAGATTACCCGATACTCCACTGGTGGGGTCTCATCTGGCAGATCTGGGCTGACATCATGTTGAAAAGGCATTTAAAACTGTCTTCCACTTTCCAGGAAACTGCTCTCCCTCCCTATAGCACTGGTAAAATCCTAGCACTTCTCCCCAGATTTTTTGAAAGAAAATAAAAACTGACCTGGTTTTGATACCTCTCTCTTCTGGGGGGGTCACTGATGAATTCAGACATAAGGTGGGTTCTCCCACCCATGCCAGCATTAGACATTTGGCTGCTTCTGAGATGTGGCACTTAAAAGCCTCTTGCTTCAATATTTTTGAGGTTCTTTTATGCATCCTTCTACTTTGAGTGGGGATTTCCCTGAGCACCTTCTCAAGGAACACAAGACTTCAAATCCTATAGATAAATCTGCATGTGTTAGGGCACCTAGAAAATAGGGTTTCCAACACAGATATTTGCATGTGGATTTCAAAAAATGCCTTGACAACCATTGACAGGCTTTAAAAATCTGATCCTATGCACCTAAACCCCATTTGAAACGGCAATTGTAGGATCTTACTTCTCTTAGCTTTTCAAAATTCTGTCAGTATTCAGTTGGAAGGAAAACAGTTCTCCCTTTTTCACTACTCTTCTATTTTCATGTTTGTTCTGAGAGATTCACTTGGAACAGAAGAGTTTTGATTAATTAAATGGGGTCATTGGTGTCACAACTAGTTATCCAGTTCTTGACTATCAGGATATGAGAATGTCCTGACCGTGTGGTGATTTCACTGTGAGATGTCAGGATCCTGTGGATTCCTGCAGAGCCTGTAAATCAGGCCACAGATGCGTTGAACCCTGAACATATGCTTATTTCTGGCCTAAAGCTGCCGTATGCAAGCGCCAAGTATGAATTCAGATAGATGTTTTTCCCACTGTCACAAATAGGCTTCACTCCAGGCATTGTTTTTGAGACAGCCATGACGCACTTTGATATATCAAGAAGACCAAAAAAAACCCCAACCCTAATAAGTTCCAGAAAAGTTACGCAAACACATCTCACCTGCTGCTCCTGTCTTCATACACACACCTAACTGAGCCCATGGGCTAGCATGAAGCATCTAATGTAGTACTGGTACTGGATGTATTGCACGGATGGCTCGGAGAACCGATAATCCTACTGGGTGAAGGGGACACTGGAAAATGCTCAGCGTTAATCCAGTTCTCTAAAATCTGGATGAGCAAAATTGAATTAAATCACAGTAATTCGATTCCATTGTCTCTAAATTAATTCGTCGCAAGAGGACATAGTCTGAGGCTGACCAAGAGAAGAGCTATCTATTCAACAGGTATTATGGGTCAAACCAAAAAGAGATTGCTAAATGTTCTGAGTGTTGCCCCATGTGGGGATATTACACGCTACGCAGTTATTACCCTCCAGTAGAAGTTGTGCGGCGGAGCACAGCTGCAGATGATTAAAGACACCACTGCCAGCATCTGACAGCAGAATGTCAGTGTCAAAATTCAATTTGAATTGATTAAATAAGGGATGGCAACACTTTTGTTTTATGGATGGCAGCACTTCAGTCGCTTTAGATGCTCTGCTTTCAGAAATAAAATTCCTTCCCTCCCTGCTATGTTTGTTGGGGTGTTTTCAGTTGGATTGCAGTCATTTCTCCAGTCAATCAATTAAGCCAGGATTTGCCACTGTGTCTAAGAATCAGCCACAAAAGAGCTGGTATGGTTCCCTGGTGCTTGGCCAAAAGGCTTCAGTGGGAGCAAGACATCAGGCAGCTTAATCTGACTTCCACCACTGGCACAAGGTTTAATGGATGTTAGGGCAGCAGAGAAATCGTGTTCTGTGGTGTTCAGCTCCTGCTCTCTCAATGGCCCCATACGCGCTGCCTTTCTCTCCGTGCCAAAAACGCAGGGGTGGCTGACAGCAGAGCCAGCGGAGCTACCTGTGCCAGCAACGGCTCCACACAGGGCAGGCGCTGCAGCCTGTTTAAGCTTGCTTTGTGCTCTGTAAATATATTTATCTCTATAGGCCTTGTAGTGCTACGCTGCCTGAGCAACTTGATGCATTGAGAAAAGCCTCCCCTAAGTTAAATGGCAGTGAGTTACTCAGAGATACGAGATTTTACAGTCTTAGGCCTTAAATGCTGACTTCAGGCCAGAGCTGCAGCAGGTATAAATCACTGCAGGTAATTTTCACCAGCTGAAATTCTGGCTCTAAGCCCATGAGTCATGTTATTTTTTTCACATTGTAAATTCTTGCTGTTTCTTAGCTATATTGCTTTAGCACTTTGGGGCACTTGTCAGGAGCCAGGACCCCATCGTTCTTGTCACCCTTCGAACAGAGATGCAAAAGACCCTTCTTGCCCCAGAGTGTTTGCAGTTTAAATAACATGCAAACCTGTGTACAATCATTTCAGCTTTCTCCACATCCCTTATTGCAATCAAGTTTTTCCTCTTATCCTGCTGGAAACATATAAGAACACAAATTCTTTGCCCAGGTTGATATTTTTAAGTAAAAAATTTACACTTTGCTGTATATTATCTCTAAGTGGCATTTTAAGCCTGGAATTTGTTGGAGCCAGCAGCAGTGTGGGACATGGTCTTTAGTAATTGAAGTGAAATGTCCAAAGTTTCTTCTCCTTTGTGATACCTGATTTGAGACATATCAAAAAGAGATTTTGGACCCAAGTTGAGCCTAAAGTGAGGGGAATCTTAACAGTGGCTGAATATTTCATCTCTTTTGTATAGTGTTGTATTTAGTTATTGTTGTATTACTTCCATTTCAGTTGTAATGTACCTTCCAGCTTCAGAGAGCTCTGGTTAGCATCTCTGGAATTATTGCTATTGCCTTTAATTACTCTGGAAGGGGTTTTAAAGTAATAAAACTACAACTTTTTAGAGTTAATGTAATGCTAGAAAATTCCTTTCCATCACAGTCCTACCTGGCTGCTTAGAAGAATAATGTAGTGGCATACAGATCTCCAGTGTACTGTGTGATGGCCTCAACAGATCAGAATATCAGAGGGTCTATGTGTTTTATGGGTATATCATACTGACAAGCTGCTCTTTACTTCCATGATCTCTCTCACTGTTTTTTTTTTGTGCTAGTCAGGAGAAGACATGCACAAGAGTTTTCTGTGTCCCCTTTTTTCATTGCTGAATGAGCTTTATCCTCAGGCAGACCTTGCTGGGCTACATCATCAGACTGTGTAGTCACTGGAGCACAAATTAACAACAAATAAATACATCTTGGCTTTTTTTTTTTTTTTTTTTTTTTTTTTTTCTAGATACTACCATAGCCATTGACAATGACCATTTCTAAATAATTCTTACTCTGCCCTAATCACTTGTTCATTGCTTTTTGTCAAAGCCCTTGAAAGAGGTTTAGTGAAGGCTCTGAAGAAGCTGGATGACTATCTGAGAACCCCTCTGCCAGAGGAGATTGATGCAAACAGTACTGAAGAGGAGAAAGTGTCTAAACGCAAGTTTCTGGATGGAGATGACCTGACACTTGCCGACTGCAACCTTCTGCCCAAACTCCATGTTGTCAAGGTAAAAGTTATGATTTGATGGTCAAAGAAGCCTTATCAGATAATGTGCCCTTTTCTGACAGGTGTGAGCTAAAGCCAACATGTATTTCAGCAGAGGCATCTTACGTCCTGTAAGAGCAGAGCTGGAAACACAATTTTGCTCCTCAGTATTTCCTATAGGTTAACTTAACTAACTTTGTAATTTAGTATCTACATGGGGAAATTGTCCCATCACTAATTAGTGGCAAAGACAATATTAAGATCTAAGTATCCCATCTCTTTATTTTAACTCTGCTGCAAGTAACAGCTTATTTCCTATTAATTAGTTCCCATTATTCTTAAGAGAGATGTCAAAACTTTAGTCAGTTCCCACTCATTTGTAACTTAAGAGCAGCAGTCCATCTTTTTGGGGAATATTTGTTCCATCTGATATTTCACACAGAGAAGTTAACAAATCAAAGTCACTGCTGAGGTCCAGGACTTAAGATGTACAGTGGTCACTGGTATAGTGCAAGTGGTGTACATCATCTTGGCTTCTAAATGTTGCATTTATTTATCAGTTTACATGTTTCTTTAGAATAAAGCAAGTACCTGGCAGACCTTGGCAAGCAAGAAAGCTAGGAATTAAAGCCAAGTCATGCATCTAATTTGGCTCCATAAGCCAAAACATAAACTGAGCCTGGGAGCTGACTCCACACATGCAAAAAAAAAAGCAAAAAAGCAAAAAAAAAAGAAGCAAAAAAAAAAGCACATAAGCCACCAAGTAAGAAATGTGATAATATCCTCACAAGTTTAGCTCTTTCGTTGGCTCATCTTCATTGGTGACGTTAGAGACAGACAATGCAAAATGAACGTGTGGCCTCTTACTTGTTCCTGTCTCCTTGGGGTGAAATGAAAGATGTCAAAAGAGAATGAAAATATTTCTCAGACAAGCATAGCCATAGGATATTGCCTGAAAAGCATTTTACAGATGGAAAAAAGGGTAAATTATTAAGTCTTTTTCATCTGACGGAAGATATGTGCTGGAAATTGTGAAAATCCTGACTTAAGTTGCCCAGCAGGTTTTATCATCCCCATGTGTGTTTGAAGCATCATTGAAGGCAAGAATGCTTAACTAAATGCAGTTTAGGACAGGATTTGGACTTGCAAATACCAAGTGGATCCTGGTAATAAAAACAAATCACAGTCATTTCTGAGAACATGACTGTCCTAAGAAATCTGAGATGGAAAACAGCTCTACCATGTGCTTCAAAAATAAAGGGGAACTCTGTCGCACATATGTATGTAATTTATGCCCAAGAACAATTTTATACTGTCAGAAAAATTAGAGATTGGAAGCACTCATTAAATCAGCTAATCCATCCCTTCCTATCAGCTAGTTCATTCTGTCACCACAGGATTATTCTATATGGTATATTCTTACAGGAAAACTGAAATATCCCAATCCAGCAAGCTCCTTAACCAACCAACTCGCCTTAAGCACAGATTAGTCCCATTGACTTCAATAGGACTATACAGGTGCTTAAAATTAAGTTTGCACTTAACTATTTTCCTGAATAAGGGCCTGAGTGTTGTTAGAAATCGAAAATTTCCCTTGATAGACAATTTCCTAGTCTAACAAGTCTTGAAATAACCATTTCCCCCCACCAGTTTATCCTAATACTCCTGTTTCTAATGTCTGCTAAATCATCTTGGTTTCTCAATCGTGGTACCCATACCACCCTGAATTTTTCCTTTGAATGAACACAGATACAGCCTTCCAACAGCTGTAGATGGTTACATCCTCTGACACCATTAGCTAGGCAAAATATATTACTTATAACAAAAATGGAAATGCAATATAAATATAATATTATGTCAAATATAAATATAATAGTTAACATGAAAATATATCATTATATATATATATTATATAATTGCTACTAATGCCTTTCTCTTAAATCTATCCTGCTTTTTATGAGTCAGCTAATCAGCTCTTATGTGATGTCTCAGCTTTAAGTGATGTACACAAGACTGGTAAAAACCACCAAAAAACAATATGGTATAAAATTAGTGAAATTCAGTTACCATAAAAGTCATAATCTGGTAACAGTAGCCAGGCCACTGATTTAGAGTTTCATTAGGCCAAGTAGTATCCTTGCAAGAAAGGGGAGAGCCAACACTCACTTTTCAGGCTTTTCTAAGCCCAAGTCTTTAAGCATTTATTTCTGTTGCCAAGAAAGAGTAAGAAGCTCTCTAAAAGCAGGAATCTGGAGATATATCACTAGCAAGATGATTTTTTTTCCCCTCTTTTATCTTTGGTTTAGATTGTTGCAAAGAAATACCGCAACTTTGAGTTCCCAGCAGAGATGACAGGGCTGTGGCGGTACCTGAAGAACGCGTATGCCAGGGATGAATTCACCAACACCTGTGCAGCAGACAAAGAAATTGAGCAAGCCTACGCAGACGTGGCCAAGCGGCTCAGCAAGTCCTAACTGACCTCAGTGGTGGCTCAACATCCCCTTTTACAGACTCTTCTCTTTGTTGCCTTAACATATACTTTATCATTACGCTATCTGGTTGGCATCCCTGTGACTTCACCTGTTCAAGTGTATTGGTTAGACAAATCTGCTTCTCCCTGGAGAAAAGAGAAGGCAGCTCTAGTGTGGGGGGTGGAGACCCTTTGAAATCTGAACCTAAGATCTGGCTCAACTAGTATTATTCTCAATCAGTATTGGAAATGAGTCCACCTTACTACTTTCTTGTTTCATGTTGGGGGTATATCACCACCGGTATTTGGAGTTTTAAAGATAGGATATTAGCTGAAATTTCAAGCAAGAGAGTTAGAGACATATAGAACTGGTTCTTCTGCAGGTTATTTTGAGGACGCTTTTTCCCCCAGCGCTATTGAGATCCTTGAGGCAGAAGCAAAATATGAGAGTGAGAGAGAGAGAGAGGGTGGAAAAAAAGATTTTGACCCCAAAGGAGAAATGCTCTTAGAAGATATATTTAAAAAACCTCTCTGAATGCATATTCTGTTTTAGCAGGCCCAAGAGTTTATAGGGTATTTTTAACTTGGCGCAAGAGGGGGAAGCCTGAGTGAATATGTCAGACTTGCAGATACTACTTTGCATAAAATTTGCATGATGCTGTTGGATCTGAATGTCTAAAGCAAAAGAGAGTGAATGAGCAATTGAGCAGGCAGCCCTTGGAAGAGTGGGGCTAGTGCCAAAATGCCCAGTGGATCTGCTAGTTGGTAGAGACACACAGAAGTAGCAATAATAGGGGCAGCACATTGACTCCAACGATAGAGGGAATTGGCACAGCTAACCAAACCACGGAGGATATTGTCATCTTGACTGTATGGTTGCCAGTTCCTTTATAATTGCTATCTTGGGAAACTTGGATAGGCAGGAGAAAGCTGTTGCTGCACATGAATTCCAGGCAGCGGAAGCACTTTCTTCGTGTTGGGCTCCAGATGGGTCACTTTCAAGCGCTCATCATCTCACCCCAGGAGAAGTTTGCTTTGAGAGCCTCAAAAAGGGAAGACTAAAACAGAGAGAGGCACATTCCCAGCCAGAAATTCAGCAAGTATGCTAGCAGAAATCCATGCATGATGCCTTAGTCCCACTCCTCCAGGGTTTACTGATCTGGGTTACACAATTCTGGATTAGGATTGTTTGCTAAAACTGATTATTTTGTTCTGTCGGTAGCATCTGCCTGACACAATCTGCTTTGCACTAGTGATTATTCGCACGCTACTTTAGCAAATACAGAATGACAGCTCTTTTGCATGAAACTCACACACCCCAATATGTACAGCAGCGCACATGGCTCGCGATTTTCAGTTTGGGAGGGATTTATCATTGTTTTCAAAGATAAAATAAATCTGAGCTGTGACCCAATGTGGCTCCCCTTCTGATCAGAGCTGCTAGAGCTGCACTGATTTGAGGGGAACCCCAGTTTGGTGAGCTGTGACTGAGGGGAACCTCGCAGCAGGCTTGTTTGCAGTCAGAGAGCTGGAGGACTGTAGACAGCATGGAAAGCCAGCCTCTGCCGTGTGGTGCTGATGACACTCTGAAGCCATCCTGTTGCTTTGGTGGGATTATTCCACTTTCCACACACACCCAGCTGGGAGCAGAATGTTGCCCGTTGACTGTGAAGATAGTTTGTGGTTGACTATTGTTTCACATGCAGTGGTCAATTTGTTGTGAACTTTCAAAACCTTGGAAGAAAATGCACGAACTCCCAAGTCTTCTCCCAGAATGGGCTATTTTAACAACGGCTGGACTGGAGGGCAAAGGCCTGCACTCTTTAAAATATTGCTGAGGAATCAACTGGCTCAGAGAACACTAATAGCAGCCAGAAAAATCTAATGCGATTAGAAGTGTCTGCACAAGCACATGTGGCTTGTTAAAAACATTTCTTCATGAGATTGGAATTATTTGTGATTTTTTTTTTTTTCGGTGTAAATTAAGGCAATTATTTATTTATTTATTTTAATTGACTCAGTCCTTTCCTCTGTCTTTCTGGTTTTGTTTTCACTCAGCACGCTGGTCAGGATGGCTCTGTCTGCTTAGAAAAGTGTTATTAGCCATGCTCTGCAAATTAGTTTTTAGTGAAAAGTCTTCTATCTGATTAATTGTCACTGGTCTTCTTTTACTTTCACTATGATTTGGTTAGGACCATGCCGATCAACAGCATCTACATTTATCTCGGTTGTCTTTTTCCAGGTTTGTACTTCAATTAGTGGCTTTGCTTAATCACAGTTGCAGTGGATTTTTGAGTGAAGATGCAGAGGCAGATGCAGATTCTTGCTCTGTGCTTATTATATTTAGCTCCTTAAAGAAGGCTGTCCAAACATGCAGCAGATGTATGGCAGGGTAAATGAAGCAGTTCAGGGTCTGTCCTGATTTCTTCCATCTCTGTGAATCTTCACCAATATGCTGAATCCCCTGGCTCTGAAATGTTCTGTGTCTTACTTTAGTTTTGCTAGAAGAGGGCCAAAACACAGTAGATCTCAGCAACTTCAAATTGCATCTGTTTTTAGAAAATATTTCAAAATATATACCAAAAAGCAAAAGAATCTTTCGTAAGATGATTTGCATGTTCTTAAAATCTTTTTAGGATTTCATTATAAAACCTATATATCCCCAAGGTTTACTAATGAATAAGAAAAAAAGTCCTTAAATATGGTCTTTTTTCCAACACCACCCTCCCAAAATCTAGATATAAAGTATTCATGGATATGAGTAAGAATAAGAGGAAAATTAAACAGTTTTCAGCTCAGTGCCCGTTCTGTGTGAATTCAAGTCTCACTCTGCATCCCAACTTTGCATCTTACTCATAGCTCTATTATAGGCTGATCCAAGATTACGGACAGGTTCAGGCATTCCCTGACCTTAGTTTGGGTTTGAAATCCAAGCTCCTGTTTTCAGATCTGTAACTTTCTCTCACCTTTGTGCTTTTTGGCTTTAGCCATAGTCAGAAGCAGGAAATACTGGAAATCCTACATAGAAAAGTGTTTTGCTAAGATTTTTGAGCTCAGTTCTCAAGACTCAGGATCCATCACCAGTGAGATTTTAAAGGGCTCCAGACCCCTTTAGGCAGGGTATTTTTGGTGACCTTCCATTGTAGTTAGAATTATAAGTAATAAATATTAATCATACAGGATTGTATATCTACATTGGCAAGCCAGCATTTCTGAAAAGAATCTAAGTGACAAGACAGACATTGCAGATTTACAATAACTTTGTTCATAAATTTTTTGCAAGATGTAAAGAAAGACATAGTGCAGAGGGGGGAAGAAGCCAACAATATGGATTTAATCATCTACATTTCAGAAATGCAGACCAAATGTCTGTAAAGATGTCCATTTCATCCAAACATTTCTTAGATATTTATTTCAAAGCTCCCTGTTCAGTCAATCCAACACTCCATTCATATTGGATCTAATATTGATTTTTCTTCTATTAGCAGTGGTATGGGAGTGCTAGAGGATCCCATATATTAGTTACTCTTATTTTCTTATTTTCTGTTAGACTAAATTGCCAAGAGGTCATCTTGCTGTGCAGGTAAGACTATTTAAAAGAGTCTGACGTGTTCTGACAAACATTTTTTTTCCAATAGAAAATTCATATAACGATATTGTTTTCTCAGGACTAGTGGGGAATATGGAGCTACAGGTTACCAGCTCTTCTCCTATGTTCAGCTGAAAAGCCACTTCCAGGGAGGAATGACAGCCTGCATCACAAAGAAGCTAGACATCTTTGTTTCCTACAAGAAAGATCAGCTGAATTGCACATAGCATTTATTTTGAATAGAGATTTATTTTGTTTTAATCCCCAGATACCTTTCGTCCTCTCTCAGCCTTGCTCAAAGTCATCTCCAAGTCGGCCATAATAATTCTGCCATTTTCTCAGTGCTAAGAGGCAGGGTGCTCATGGATGGGCACATGGGGAACAGTGTTTCAGTACAACCCATCCGTCTTGGGGGATGAAGTCCAAAGGCCTCTGCTTGCAGCACTGCTCCCACAAGCAGAGAGAGCTCCCTTTCTGCACTGATTAATTTTGGCTAATTAGCTGAGTTTAAGGTATTACAAAAACATAGGCAGTGGAAATCCCACGTCTGTAAAGCCCCAGAAGCACACGGAAACATTCACTTTTTAAAATGAATTTGTGTTTTTTTAAAAAAATATCTCTCCCAAGTCTCATGTCCTCCTCCATGTGTATTCTTTTAAGCATCAGGCAGTTTGCCTTTGTTTATTATTCTGCTAGAAATATTCGTTATTCTTGAATTGGTTTTGATATTAAGAAATATTTTTCCAGTAAGATTTTGCCTTTCTGCTGAATCTTTCATCTCTTCATTAATTTTGATGTCTGCAATGACCTAGTAATTCCAGAGGAGGCAGGAAAGCTGTGAAGCTTATACTTGTTGAGAAGTTGAAGGAGGTAATGGTTTTTTTGGAGAAAACAGTATTAAAAGCATAAAAAAAAAAAAAAAAAAAAAAAAAAAAAAAAAAAAAAAAAAAAAAGAGTGTCTTTTCATCTGGGATACTTTAACCAAGAGTGATAGACTGTTTAGTCTGGAATGTGATTTTCAGCACAGACCTGAGCAAGCCACCATGTTTAAGGTGACATTGCCTAGGGATTTCCCCAGGATGAATGAAGATGTTCCCTCTGAGTCACAAATTTTCCCTTTTCCTTGGCCAGGAGGGATCTATTGGTTTGTACTGACACCAAACTGTGACAGCCCACTAACTCAGTGCTAGGCAGGGAAAAGAGGGGTCCTGTTGCCTTTTTCTTCTAGCACATGTGCAGGTTAAACAGAAAACATTAATCTGTTTTGTTTCCTTGCCCCACATCCCAAGCAACACTCCAGCCCTAGGAAAGCACAGAGACCCCATCCAGCACTGATTTTCAAAGCTTGATCCGTCCATGTTTTAACGTATGATGGAAAGGTCTGAAGAGCCCCGTGTAATTTCTCCGGTGCTCACCACGCAGCGTGACAGGACTCGGCAGCATCTCAGAGACTGCAGCAATCATGTTATTCCCCTGTTGCCCCAAATCATTCCCCTTTCACCATGTACTGGAGAGATGCTAAAGCTCAAAATATTCCAGAGGATGCGCTTGAATGTGGTGTATTTTGAGCTGTGCTCATCAACTAACCTGCTCTGAATGATGACATTGTCGCGGCTCAGCAGGTCGTGCCTCTGCTGCCAACCGGACGACCCATCGCTGCTGGAGCAGCAGCGCTCCGATGGGAAACGCCGCAGCTGTTCAGCCAGCCGTGGTGCAACCACGATGAAAGGATTCAGTGCCACCTTTTCTCCGGCCCAGCTCTCTAGCTGAAGTGTGTTAGCAGCTCAGCTGGGGCCATGATCCAGCGCTAATGAGCATTTCTAGCTTCCAGCGTGTGAATAGAGGCTACTCATGTGTTTAATGTTAAACATGTGCTTGCCTGCTTGCCTGGATAGGGGCCTAAAAGTCATGACAGAAAAGCCTATATTAATGAAGAGCATTATAATTCTCTTTCCTTTGAAATCCAGTGGCAGAATTCCCAGTGGGGGAATTCCCAATAGGAATTCCCAGTAGTGCCCAAGGCTACATAAGCACGAAGATGTTTTAAGCGTGAAGATGTCCTCAGAGAACAGAAAACACTCAAGGAGAAAAGGAAGCAGCAGTGATATATAGAGTCTTCCTACAGAAGCAGGACAGGGCACCCAGCTCTGTCCCGGCGGCAGCTGGAGGGAGGGACACCCCCAGTGCTGTCAGGCTCTGTTCTGGTTTATGGTGGGGAGGTTCGGAGTGAAGCTGGGTCCGGGCCACGCTGGCAGTGTAATGCCAAGGCATGTTCTGCTGTATCTCCAACCACACTCCCTATGGTGGTATCCCACAGTATAACGATGCCTCCATTGTGTCTGCCTCACTCTTATTATGAAGTGGCTTGTCTAAAGAAAACTAAGAAGGGTGGGGGAATTTTTTTTTTTTTTATATATACATGGAGTAAAAACAATCCAAATATGCTTTAATGGTTCTCAACATGATACTGTCAGTTCTCACCACAGGGTGGAATTTGTTGGTGGAAATTAAATTAAATTAAATTAAAACAGAAAAACTTGGCTTTTGCTAATGGGTACTACTGGGAGCCCTAAAAGCAGTTTGCAGTGTAGAACCATAGCAGGAGCGAACATCCTTTAATTCCCAGAATCACTTGGATTTCACAGGGTCATTCTGCTACACTGCTGAGAAGTTGCTCTTTCCCTGTCTCCCTAGGTCTATTAAATCTGAAGAATTTGGGAAATGGCTACGGGCACCACATTAATCTTTTTCTTTTTCACTTTTTTTTTTTTTTTTTTTTTTTTTTCCGCCCCTTCATTAAATTGACTACTTTAGTTTGGAAGTAAGCGATAAGTAAACAGAATTTGCAAACAGCTGAGTTCTCTACTTTTTCATTAAGGAAGTTTTTAAGAGCTTTCAGGAAATGAGAGGTTATCCCCAGCTTTGGGAATAAACTATGGTATAAAATATAGAGAGAAATGTGATTCTGATTAAATAATTTAAGCAAGAAGATTATGGTTTGTTTTAAGGAGCATGCTTTGGACTAAACAAACAGAATACTCCAGAAATTGCAATAGGGATTTCAGACTCTGTTCCAATCTCCTTTTATTTTAAATTACTGATTGTACAACATAGAAACTGTATGTATATATATTCACCTTATTTAACTGCATTATTTAATTCAATAATGCTGTGTTGGGATGGAAGGTGGCATAAAGAGGAAAACTTAGACTCTTGAAACAGCACTATTATTTCTGTGTCTTTGATTTTGTTCCCACTGGAATAAACAAGAGCTGCACCATTTACTCGTGTAGAAGCAGGATCTCAGTTCACAGGTCCGGATAGTTTCGCAGTCTCTTTGGAGGACGGGGTAATTTGCTGTTTAGCAATCCGAGTCTTTCAGTGCATTTCGGAAGGCGTCCAGGACCGTCCTTGGGTGAACGGATAGCGTTGCTTGTGAAGGACCACAGTGAATCCCCTGCTGTTATAAAATGAGATTAAGCCATCATGAGACATGGACTGGCTAACCCTGAACCAGACACGTTTGCCTGCAGCGCAGCCGCTAAATTGGTCTGACATCAGGAACCGCAGCGTAAGAGCTTGGCCTCAGAAGTGAGTCAAAGCAGCATCTTTGTCACCAGTCATTTTCTATTTATAACGACACAGATCTATTTTATAATCACGGGGAGGCACAACAGGAGTGGGCTTTGTTCTGCCTAAATCTCATTTCTTGTGCGGGTGCGTTTAAACACAGCCTTTGGCCCCTTGCCGCACACCACACACACCCAAGGCGGGCAATTCTGGCACAACAATGCACACCCTGTCGTGCTTGAATGCTCAAAGACTTTGAGCTGAAGCAATAAACTCCTGCTAAATGGCTTAAAAATGTTCCCTTAAGTGTGCTGAGCTGCCACGCTGCCTCACTTCTTGATTCCAATGCCATTTTATGTCCAAGCCTTGGGTTTCAAATAAACCAGGAGTATGTTGCATTGTTTAGTGCTGGAAATTACTGGGCATTATTAACCATAAGAAATTGGGGTAAAAACCCCACCCCAAGCCCCAATCGAACCCTCTTTCCTAGTGCAAAACTGATTGCACATGAACATGACTCTCTTTTTCGGAGGCTGTGAATACATTCCCCATAGCTGCTCGCTTCGCTTTCTGGAGAATGGGTCCTCTTCTGTGCAAATCCTCAGAACTATGATGGTAAAAGCCCCTTTTTTTCTCTCTCTCTCTTTTTTTTTTTTTTTTTTTTTAATTTTAATTTGAAGAGTCCTAATCTATATTGCCTAGAAACTTATGAACTAACGATCAATAGATCTATTTTTATAGTCTGACTGTTCTCAGTTCTAAAGCCTGAAGATCAAAACCAAGTTGCATAGTGTGATTTAGGGGTGAAAGGAAATCCTGACTGATTTGAGGCACAATCCTGGTTACTTTGAGGTGGGTGTGAGGTTGAAAGAGAAGAAGGGGAGCCCACTGTACTGTCCTTCCACTGAGGGAGGATAGCAGGAGACAGTCTGGAAGTCCTAAGAGCTATATGGGCAAGTTTCCCATCTTCAGTGTGAAAGAAACCTGTACAGAGACCTGAATGGCCCTAAAATGACCCGCAGTGGCTTAAAAATTGCAATGACATTAAAAAGAAAAATTTGGGATGTGAACAATGACATGATGATCTGGCACAACACCTCTTCATTTGAAAGGACACTTGAATTTTTGAGCACTGGCCCAGACCCAAGTTCAAGACTGGATTTTCTCCTCCAAAATGTCATGAATCTCAGAAATACCTAATGGCTGTTGGGATTATCACCCCCTGAGCTGCTTGGGTAAAAGCAAAATCAGGAACTCTTAAGGAGAAAGCAGGAATGACCTTTAAACGTGGACCTGGTAAACTTCAAAGAAAAGTCATTTATTTGTAAACAACTATTTTATAGTGGTTGACAGTGAAATGTAACTGTGTTTCCAGGGGTATCCATCAGATAAGAAAGACAGACAGGATAAATCCCTTCACATACTTGTGATTTTCAGTTGAGGCACATCCTCTGTTAGTGGGTAATTTTAGATTAGACTGTAACCTTTTGGGGTAGGAACTAAATATTTCTTTTCTGTATGTGCAGCTCCTAACACAACAGAAGCCTGATTAGAGCCTTTGTGTGCCGCTCTAACCTTCATAACATATAATAATAGGAATATTATAATTAAAATATTGTAGTTCACCTGTAATATTATGATTGTGTGGCTGTACTCTGTCAACTGTGAATAAAATGAATGTTCTTTTTGTATAATAGGTAGTATATTTTATTATTGAAGAAACAGTTTAATTTTTAAAAGACGAAAAAGTATCTTATTAAAATGTAGCTTATTGTTTCATTTTAGGCTTTTGGATAAATAAGCAAAAGTTTCTTTTGTATCCTTCAAATGAGTATGTGTTAAATGTAGAAATCCATCTTCCTGAATTGGAGATGCTTATAAATTTATATTCCAAGAGTGATTAACACCTGATAATTTGAATAAAAGTGGTTTATTTTCTCATTGGGTTATTCCTGAATTTTGGGGGGTTTTTTGGTTGTTTTTTTTTTTTTCTTTTAAACAGGCAACATTCCCTTGGCTGAAAAAAAAAATAAA